GAGCGCCATATCCCGGATTGTTCCGGGCCACCTGCACTCTTTGCTCTTTGGTTCCCCATCAAGTAGGCGTGTGGATCCAACAACGTGAAGTCAATAATTTCCTATGCTGTCGCCAAATTGATGACTGACCACCACGCAGTCGACTCCAGCCCGGTCCTGACCGACGAATAGAGCGCGACGCGGCAAACGCCCAGGTACCATGCGTAGGACGGAACCGAGCCATCTTAACTGGTTGCTTGTTTAAGGGAATACTCGCATTCTCTAAGACACGTCTAACTTCACCATTGCAGATACGTCGTTTCCACTACGCATGGGTAATCCTCTTCAAGCACTCATTGTCGAAGACTGAGAGCCGGCGCATGTTATCTGCACGAACTGAACATGACTCTCTCCCATATGTCAACACCGCCCCAATGGTGGCATTGCAAAAACAACCCTTTACCAAGAAGGAGACATCCCGACGACACCACAACTGTTTCAGGTTGACAAACGCCGACTGAGCCCTGATGATGACAAGAAAGACGTCCATTCCAGTTGTACCGCCAGGAGACACGCCGCTGCCCAGGTAAGCAAAGCCACCAACGTGTTCAAGTTGTCTATCTACAAGAGTGAGCACAGCATCGGACGAGTGCTAATCCTGGAGTAGCATTTTACCCTTCGACTGGGCGAAGCACATTCCATATTCACATGTCTCAATCGCTAAAGGGTTTAGATTGACTTGTATACTCCGCGATTCATCACCAAGTAAGGCGATGTCACCATCATCGTCTTAGCCGATCGGTTGCTTGCTCGCTTACCTGGTAGTAGCTCCAGACCAAAATGTTACTAACCCACCAGAGCTCTCGACAAGACGTCTTCAATCGCGAAATTGAGGAGAAACGGTAACATTGGGCAGTCCTGTCTTACATCGCTGCTGACAGCGAAGGACGTAGGAAGCCTATCATGGACCTTCACTCTGCCGGAGACGTGAAGTAGAATGCACAAAGGAAAGCTGCGTACTTTTTGGGACCCCGTCCCTTAGCAACAAACGTCATAGCGCAGGTCGATCAACCGAGTCGAATACGACACGGATGTCTAAAAATGCAACGATGGCAGGCCTGTGGTAAAGATACTGATGTTCGAGGATTTGGCGGAGCGTGAAAATTTGATCCGCACACCGACGGCCAGGACGGAAGCCAGCCTGTTCTTCCTGGTACTGGGATTCACGAATCGGAGATAGTCCACATAGTAGAGTGGATGTCAACAGCTTGCAGTCAACCGAAGTGAGACTACTCCCTCGGTGGTTGATGCATGAAGCGCAAGCACTATTCTTAACAATCGGAACAACAGTTGATTCGAGCCGGAATGAAGGAACCTTTTCTTCAACCGACATCTTGTAGTACATTGAAGCTAACTGGATGATGATAACTGCGCCACCCTATTTGAACTGCTCCGGAGGAACATCGTCTGAGTCGGCAACCTTGAATCGCTCCAAGTGTCGAATCGCAGAGCAAACTTCCGCTTTGGTGGGTGAATCAAGCGTGACGATCCAGGGTGGGCAGCTGGGTTCCCAGGGCATACAAGTGGAAGGTGAAGGCCAATTGAACTGAGAATGAGAATGTTTAGTCCATCAATCCAAGCGTTTCTGTAGGTTGGCAGGCAGAACACCATCTGCTTCGTAAATAGTCCCACCGTCTCCAGGCTCCCTGTGGCCAGTAGATGAAATGAGGTGGAAGAGCTTGCGAATATTGCCAGACGGCAGTGGCCTTCATTTCCGAAGAGTACTGATACCACCAGGTTTCCAGATCAATGCGTAGGCTTAGTTTGTGCTGCCGACTGACGGCACACTTCCTTATGATTAGACTGCGCTGTAATACTTCTGCGATGATTAAATAGATCCAGGGAGGGCGTGGATATGCTGGACTTCATAGGGTGTTAAGACCACAGACGGACTGTCCACTTGTGATCATGGTCCTCTGCATGAGCGTCCAGTGTTCAACAATGTCTTGCGGTGGGTCGCAGCTGTGTGCATCGGCTATGGAAGATTGAGAGCTCCGCTGAACCGAGAATAGATAGCTCATTCGCATCTACTTCACAATGTTACATTTTCGGGGGCCCGCCGAAACTCATCTCGATGTTCTCACAGAGAAGAGCGTGGTCTGAGTCAATAAAGATGGACCAGATTGCTCTGCAACCCTTTACACTACCCCTCCATCTCAAACTGATTGCGATATGATCACTAAGACCATGATTGAGACCTAGAAGGGGGTTTCCAAGTAGCGGAACGTCTCCTCGAATGCCGGAAACTGATGCTTGAGAGAAACAGACCATTTGCCTAATGTGAGATGTCTCACTTCATTATCTGAGCGGCTTCCATCGAGCGCATGGTCACTACCAAAGTGACTTTTGCGTGATAATAGACGACCAACCTGTGCGTTGAGATCCCCAGAAAATTCAATAATATCGGGTTTGCAAGCTCTGCTCAAGAGCTGGTGAAGTTCACGTCAAAAATCCTATTTTACGAAGTCGCAACTGCACTTAGTTGGAGTGTACGCTGAGATCACGAACAAGTTGCGTCTTTCCTCACGATATCTGTTGATCCTGAATGATTCCCGAAGCCGAACTGCGCACACTCGGCTAGTAGTCGGGAACCAGTCTAGTAATACGGCCACGCTTTTGCTACTTAGTGCTACACTAACGCCAGCCAAACTTGCCCCGGCTGCTTCTGTACATAGGCGTAGGTGAAATATGACTCCGTGGTTGGTGGAAGATGTCACCTCAGTCACAATACGGAAAGACAGCATACATCACCGGCAAGGGATTCCAAGGTGCGCGCAAGACCAGCCTGCTGCCCGATCTACATGAGTATACGTACATTGAATCATGCCAGTTGGAACGAGGATCGAGGCCAAAATAGGGCTATTGGGCTAGTTCTGTGGTCATCAGCGAAACCATCAGGAGTGGAATCCTTGAAGCAGGAATCAGCTTGTAACGAGTAGCAGTGATTTGTAACAAATGAACAGTTGGCGTGTGAAAAAGCTGTCTTGGCTGCGAAGCACCAGCACGAATTACTACTGGGCTACTAATACCTTTATCAAAGAACTCGACTGATGGACCGTATCGCTTTCCTACTCGTTGACACTATTGATTAGACCACGAGATCACCTGTTTTCATTTGCGTTTACTTTGGCTAGATTGAGTCAGTGTTTATTTTCCACTTATTGCTTTTAACTGTTCATCCTTTCGCCCGGGTAAATCTTTTTTTATCAAATGATCCATTTTCACCAATCTTTCTTTATTCCTTCCGTTTGCGTATTGGGCTGACGTAAGTGGCAACTGACGTAGTTATAACTATTTTCGCGTGTCTCGGATGATAATCAGAACTCAACAATGCGCCCACTACCTACGGTCTATCACTTGGTTGGATTTTAGTTTCGTTGCCTGTCATGGTATGTGTTTCCTATCTTTACCGAGTTTCAATTTGTTTACAATCCGAAACACCGTCTAAACTTTGAATTGATGTTTGTGTGGCTCCACGAGGCTAGGAATAGGCTGTGGGCGAGGTTATTTCTAGTGTGCACCACTTATCCTGCCCGGGTTACCCGTAACGCGATTGTTTACTTCTTTGTGGACGGTCTTGGAAATTCTGTGCGTATCTTTCAACCTTGATGCTAATAGAGTAAGATGAGTTTTACTGAGGCGTGGTGTCCTCTTCAGGTATGACATTTCGTCGTCGTCATCATCTTCATCATTGAACACGTTAGGTATGAGTCAGAAAAATCTCAACCATTATGCCGCAATCTAATCCGACTTGATGGTAGTAAAAGGAAAAATGAAGGCACAAACAACAGGGAAAGCAAAACGGGACAAAAATATTACTATGCTTTATTTTATGTTATTAATTAACCATGAGATGTGATTGGAAGGACGGGAAGAGGAGTCCACAACTCAAACGCCATTAATGAAATCGGCTCTTCACTATGCGATCAAGTTTACCCGTTCAGACGTGTTCCTCACCTTTTAAGCCCCAACCGGAAAGTCAAGAGGATCCAACCGACGCCAATTTCGAAGTGTGGGTTTTCATCCCATTCGTCGATTGACCTCCCTACCTTCTATTTCACTCCGACACCCGTCACACAAGCAGCACACGTCGTGGGAGTCGGTGTGCTGCATGCCTAATGTGTGGCCCGGTCATCGGAGTCTGGTGGGTGAACTACGGACTCTGAGCTGTTCAGTTGCTCTTCCACAACATAAGTAGCACACCGAACACGCTCATTGCGTTCTCACCAGATGTGAGCTAATGTAACGGCTCGTTGTCTGGATTGAGTCTGCTATTTCGGTTGAAAGCTTGACGAGAGGGCTTCGATGCAGCAACTCCACATTCGATGAACTGGGGACCTGTTCTAGCAAATTTTCGTCTGCTGTTTCATCAGCTAGCATAACCCTTTGGACTACCTTTCGTACCGTGCGCCAACCTTCAGATCCGATAGTGTGATGAAGTTGGCTGACGGTTTGATCATGCACATTCTGTGAGCTAACTGACTAAACTGTTCGGTTGATGGTGCTTTCAATCTGCAACACTCAACGGAACTACGCCTCTGACCATAGAAATGCAAGACGTTGTGGTAAGTAGCGAATGCGGATACTTCGTTGTGTTCGCAGGGAATTAGACGCTTGCATGACCAGATTTTGACGATTCTCACTTACCTCCCCGATGTTTACGCACTTTAACATTGCCATAGCTAATCTCGGTGCTGTTGCTTACCGCTTCTGCTAACCATCATCGGGGGTGTTGATCACATGCATCTGCCGTTCCATACTTTGCTGTTGCATATTTCTTTAGTACTGGTATTCTACTGATCCCATGACGACTAGGTAACCGCCCACATTTCTTTTTCCGCTTTTTGCTTGGGTGTACTTTTTACCTCCATCAAACAATAATCATTTCCAGGGTGCATTTTATTAAACACTGTTTGTTGTCTCGAATCCGATTAATTATCTCCAAATTGGTTCCGTTTCAGATTTGAGCGGCGTTCCACCGTCATGCTTCCTGGCATGGAGGGCAAATACATTGCTCGCGGCCAATTCGTTGGCAAATCAATCGCTGTGTTCACCAGTGGTGGTGACGCGCAGGGCATGAATGCTGCTGTCCGGGCCGTTGTTCGGATGGGCATCTATTGTGGGTGTCGGGTGTATTTCATCAAGGAAGGATATCAAGGCATGGTAGACGGGGGGGACAACATCATTGAGGCCGGATGGGCTGATGTGTCGAACATTATTCAGGTGGTAAGCGTACATTGAACCCGTTTGGTCTTATCTGTTTGATACCCCTGCACTCCCAGAATCGTAACTCTTAGGCACATGCAAACTTCTCTTGTATTGCATTGCCACTCCTTTAAACTACCTTCTGAGCATACGTTGCTTACCAATCGTCGCACGATGTTAATTAAAATCGAGGGCCCACTTTCTTCACTTGGCTCGTAACCCTCAGCGCAATAAGGTTGAGATCTATTTTTATTATGTCATGCCATTGTGTATGTTACTTCTTGCTGGATGAGTTCTCAGTTCGCAAGACTTCTGGGGTCACCAAATATATACCGAACGGGTTAACACTTAGGTATTAGTTATTGTCCGAACTCTGTTTTTCAGTGCAAATACAGTCACTGACCATCGGAAGGCTTCCGACTTCGAGTAATTCCCAGACTAACGGTAAGATCCGGCGGATAGCGCAGCGCCATCAAGACGATAATTCCTGGCCGAGCAAACACGACGAATACGCACGTAGCAGACCGCAGCAACACCGCGGAACCAAATTTAAAAGAGTATATCGACTGATTTGATTAAAACAAACTGTGCAATAAATGATGCGAATTGGAATAAGTAAAAACGGTTGTGAAAATGAAATGTACAAACGCTACAACTTATCTGAGGTAAAGTCGACAGGTTGCTTATCCGATCTAGCTAAACTCATGGTCTCAGTTGCCTGCTGTTAGTATGTTGGACCGATGGGACACTGCGTGCTTCGTTCCAGAGCGCCTACTGCAGTACGCACACTACGAGCGATGAACTTTCGGGACGAGCATCCAGTGGTCTTTGGGTTACGTGCACTACCTCGGATCTGTTTGTCTATATTTGGGTTAGACCACCGTTGTTAGGAGTTTCAGATCCAAGTTCTCCATATTTTCATCCATTTGTCGGGAAGAGGTTTTCTGATGGTGATCAGGCACACACTTACTCGTAGCATTCCGATGTTGGATGATATAAGGTCTAAGTGAAGGTAAGTATTCATCCGGTAATGGAAAATGAAAGCGTTGTATACCATATTGATTATTCCCGCTTAATCTTGCCTACCACGCCTTGCCCACATGGTCCATTCTTGCTCTTGACATCACTAAATGTGCAATGCAACTGGCGCTATTGGCGTGTTCACCGTTGTCTGCTAATCAGACAGAATGTTCAAGTTTCTGCGTCAATGATTTATTCATAGATTAGGGTTGTTTTCAGCGGGGCATTTATGGTTTCAGTGAACAAATCTCATCGATACCGCCTATATTCACACGGTGTCCAACTGATTGTGAACGTCCGTTGGTCACATGGAATAATCACTCTAATCACCAAGGTTTATGACATTTGGTTTTATATTTGGCTACTTCAAGATTTGTGAATCATGAAAACAAATCACAGGTACAACGTGTCATTGTGCTACCGTTGAAAACAATGACAGAACCGCGTTGAGCTCAGTTCGCACTCACGACCCTCCGACGCTAGCACATATTGTGCGCTTGATATTCATCAGAATGTAAGTTTGTGTTGGAGAATGAGACGGGTATCCAAATATTTGGCACGCGTACTACACAAACAGGCGGCATCCTACTTTCCTTTAATCGTCATACTTTAGCTCATCGAATAGCATTTCGATGTAACTTTGCCATTCTGTGTCATAGTGCTTTATACTAGGCACGCTACACCACGATTTTTTGTGTTTGTTTGAATTTTTATGCTAGGGCTAACTTGGGCTTTTGGCGTAGGTTCGTCGCAGCCAGACAACCTGGCATCACACATGCAGGAAAGCGCTAGACCGCCGTTTCTTCCTATTAGGACTCGTCAGTAGCCCGCATTCACCGAATCCTGTCAGATTCGAACCCGTGATCTTACTTTACGAGTCAGCGACTTACACCATAGCCATGAGTAACGGGGGCGAATCGCCATGTCCTATTTCTAGCTGCGACATAGCGCTGGTTACCCTTCACTGTCATTCATGTTATGAACGTGCATCGAACATAGTTGGCCCCCACGGCTACGACTACTTTTGCAGACTGCTACCAGTCGAGACCGTATGTAAGCTACTAAGGCGGTTACGGATTATTATAGAAAAATATGGAGGAGTTACTGGAATTTCGAGAGGATTCGTCGTAGCCAGACTCAGCCAGCTACCACACATCCAGGAAAAAGCTGGACGGCCCTTTCGTCCTATTGGGACTGGTCAGTAGTGCGTATCTGCCGGATCCTGCTGTATCCGACCCGTAGTCTTATTTTTGCGAGTCTTTGACGTAAGCAACTGAGCCTGAGCCAGAAGTTGAACTCAGCATGTTGTGGTTTCCCAGAGCGATCTTTAACCGACCGACCCCCGAGCTCAACTGGCAACGCTGTTGGCAGTGGCGAGAAGTTCACATTTCTCTTTTGGAATGCCTACTGTATTCTTTGGCTACTTTGGATGAAGTCCCGAACGGTATATCGTGCTGTAATCAAAGCTCACAGTCTTGGTTTGAGACAGTCCTTGGCACCGCTGTTGTGGAATCCCCTCTTCCCTCTTTTTGGCAATTTTGCAAAGCAATCCATTTGCTGTAACGTTTCGTTTCGGATTTCCGCTTAGTCATGTTTACTCTGTATATCGGCATGCAAAGTGTATCTGCTTCCAGTTTGAATTTCTTTTTCAAAATTTCTTTTGGTTTTTTAACCCTTCCTTTGCACCGTCCACCATAAATCATGTCATGGCTTCCCCTTCAATCAATTTGAGACATCTGTTAGACTTTGGTCAACGTTGCTTGATTTTTCCACTTGTATTCTCTGCTGTTCTCGATAATGCCGTTTTATGTGTTGATCAAGGAACCCGAGAGATCAATCTGTTTTCCGACCTCTCTTGACCGTTATGCATCGTTTCCGGCTTTTTTGGGATAAATCGAAAACCTCATTATCTTCTCATTCTAGATTACCCGTTCTGTGACGCTTTAACCTGCATTACAACAGTTTGCAGTGGAGCGTGACTACCCACCTTCCCACTCGCGTACCACCTTTGGTCATGATTTGTACATGACAGACATATCCCGATATGGCACATGTCCTACAGTGAGTGACCTCACCTGCTGTCTACGCCACTGGTTGCGTCTGACTCGCACATTTTTCATTGACTCCATCCGACTGGCAATCACTAGGTTATATAGGAATTCTCTCTGATCGCCTATGTTGCCTGCAGTGACACAATCGTTCGACTGACCCTTGTAATTCTGTTGGCGCGAGATTGTCAACACGAGTAATCAATATGAAATACACACCCGTTACGAAATACGGAGCTTACTGCATCGTGTCGATGAGCTTTTGCGTGTTACTTCCGTCCTAGACCGTTCTGATGCTATTAGGCAGTTTGGCTTTCTTGTTGTCCTTTATATCAGTGCTCAGTGCTAGTAATAGGGTTTTAATATTAGCTCCGGATTTGTGTCATACGCCGGAACACACATCAAGGTAATCGATTCAAATGGTATCGACATCCTTACCACCACCGGGGTTCACATGTGGGGAAATACCCTATATGTCTTTCGAGCTCTGAGTGAGCCAGCTGTTTTACACTCCGGCACTTTAACAACAACAACTACTACTACATTAGCAACTCACCCTCAGTTCTATCCTCCTGTAACTGGTCAGCAGAATTCCTAGTGTGTTCTTGCAAATCCGTCGACACATGTCTTTTTAGATGCGAGTGCTAATCTTGACGTCAGGAAAACGACTTAAACTTTCTGTATCCACGCCACAAGTCTGTTCGACCTCCGACCACACAAGAAGGTCTATTCTTCCAGTGCTCTTGATCGTATTTATTATTACATTATATTATTTAACACTTGACCAATAAACTATTGACAGTATGCCACAACACATGAGTAACAACAACAAAGTGGAGAAAACGCGGCAGTCAGGAAAATGTTTGTGTTGTTAATGTTTTGCGAAGGCAGTAAGCTTTCTGGTTGCTCAAGTCGAGGAAGAGCATTGACTTAAGGGACCCCATCCCGAGCCTTTGGTCATCACGACCTGATCCGCAAGGCAGCTGGGCGACACTCGTGTCACTGATTACGGTGACCGTTGACATCTGTGTGGCCCATTCACCTTCTTTGTGTTCCGTAGCAGTCCACACAGAAGCCGATGGCCAGCAAGGTTGTTCATCCGACTTCCTTTAGGTGCTCACCTCTGGTTACAGAAGTGAGTGGTCAGTGACCCTATATCCGGTCAGATTAGCTTTGACGCAGCGCGGTACGACCTTTTGTGGTATTTGATGGAGAACCAGGTAACCAACCCAGAACCCCCGCTCTGAGACGCTTTCGCTGATAGTCTGCGATTGCTTATTTACCTCGCCTGCAAGACAAACGTGGCCCATTTGCAGTTACCTCCCCAAGAAAGACATTCCCCATTCTGTAACCTTGGGACGCGCCCGATAGTGTACAGCTCCGCCACGGGCTTGATCGTATTTGGAACACTAGAATCTATTTAGTGTTTCGTGCATTATCATGGGTTTACAACCGTTTGCAAAGTTCACTGACACGTGATTACTTGGGGATTCAGCTAATGTTATTAACCATCAATTAGAGTAACCTGGAATCATCAAGTATTCTAGTCACCAATGTCAAATGGTGTTTCCAACGATTCGGCTTTTCTCGTTGCTACCCCACTCATCTTCATAAGTGCCATAGAAACCAATGCTCAGCACGGTGCGCTGAATTTTATCACTCGTTGCCATCACTTGTGGTTCGTCTTGATCTGTGTTTTTCTATCTCCAGTTGCGACGTTCTTAACAGTTTTCTTCCCTAACACATCCATCACCTCCAGTTTTGACATCCGTTTTACGTTTGGTCGTGGTAAGCTTGGCGAGCGGCGAGTAGCAGACAACGTTGCAGTTACGCCGCACGGTTCTCGTTGTTGTGGTCATCATCAGCATTATCTTGACCATCATTATCATTATCACCGTCATCATCGTAATCACCTTTACTTCATGCTAACATTGTGCTGTTAATGCTCCTTGGGTCAACAACTTCTGATGGCACATTGGCCGTACCCCGACCTGATTATACATCATTTATATATATATATATATACCATTTTCACTTTAAATAAGACGTTTTACAAATCACGTTGGACGTTTTGCGAAGCAAAATACCCACTCTTCAAGCCAAGTTGGGCACATTACATTCTAAGCATAAAACTAGCGCTTTCTTAGCAAGAAACAAGGAGTAGAGCAACTAAACTATGTCCATGCTACATTGTAGTCATGCTAATGCAACCGGATTGTGTAAGCAGCGGGTGCCACTGCAAAGCCTTCTCTTGATCGTGAACCTCGATCACCTCTATCAAAGGCGGTGACTGGGTTTCCACTTCTCTCCTTATCGGTCTTCGCGTAGTTTATGTGCCTGTGCCTTTACGCATGAACCTGTGAAGCTGTGTGACTATTGGAAAGATGGGCTCTTGAATATCGTGGTCTCTTATGACTTGAACAAATGTTACCTAGTTTTGGAAGATCATCGTGAAACACTCGTTTTGTGAATGGACCGCATTCTCATTGAAGTAAACCTTGACCAATTCGATCACTTGCACTGTAACTGATGAAGCAGATAGGCGGTGACCCAGTTGTCTCTTGTCCCTTTATGGATCTCCATGTACACTGTGTGGATGTGTAAGCGAACCTATGCAGCTGCTCGACTATTGGAGCAGTGCAGGCTGTCATGAATCCACCGAACTCTGTGTTCACCCTGCGATCCCCGCATACGACACTGGCGGCATTTTCTCTGCGTTTGTCGAAGATGACACAGCTTCAAATGTCAGTCAATCCGGTATAGGCGTTCCTCTAAGTCCCCGGGCTGAAGTCAAAAGTCGGATGTGTGCCGTCAGGCTGGCTGGCTCGTTGGAAGCTTCGAAGTCACGCCGGAACTAACGGCACTTGTTTATCATTGAACCTGTGCCCCCACAAACTGTAGCACTGACTCGGTAAATGATGAAATATATCATTAACTGAACGAGCTCCTACGTTACAGGAAAAGTACGGATACTGTGATGCTGGCTGATGATCTGAACGTCCAAGTTGGAAAACTATCCACTGATGAACTGCATCTGGGCAGCCAACACGATGTAGGCTCCTGTACTGATAACGATGAGCGGTTAGTACACCTAGGTGAAGACGCTCGCCTCTTTCACGCAAGCACTAACTTCCGACACAGCATCCGATGATGAGTGACAGCGTCCAATCGTCGGACCAGTCGAAGGCACAAATCGATTACATCGCGATCAGTTACCGTTGGAGAGGCTGTGTCCAAAACTTCCGCTGAATTTGGAGCACGAGTGTGGACTCTGACTACGCACTGGTATGTGCCGAGCTGCAGGTACGTTTTGGCGGACGTCCGCCGCGGCGCTGTGAGTGTATAACTCCTTGCCAATTGGCGAAACCAAATGTTCTAAATGCGTATTAGCTTACGCTGGCATCCGAGCTGAGTAAGTGGTCGCCGAACACAGTGGAGGGCCACTGGCCACATATCCGGCAGACGTTATTAGCAACAGGCATGTTTTCATGTGGCAAATCAAAGTGTCAACCTGAACATTGTATCTCTACGCAGTATCTGGGGCCTTTAAGCACTCACCGACACATTTTGGCTGTGAGCGAACACAAGGAGACTCGCAATGATCTCAAGGTGAAACTGTGCTAGACTAAAAAGAGACCGCGGAACCTGGTGGTCTCGTGCATCGGTGATGGAATCGGCCGCTGCTCTTGGTAACCGTCGGGAGCTATTCATTCTGACACGCAAAAGTGCTAGATGGAGACCTGGCGTTAGCGAGATTATATGTGACGAGAGTGGACAACCACAGCATGTCAAAACGTTTGGAACGTTGGGCCGAACAATTTGAAAAACTGTTTACTCAGCCAGAGTCGCCAACTTTATCGGCCAGTGATCGCCATTCTCCCTGGGCCGTCCCCCTGGATCCTCCTCCACTCGCAGGTATAGAAAGTGGAAGCAAACTGTTGAAATGGAATAAGGCCGCTTTAGCAGATAGAGTTTCTGCAGCTCTCTTCGAGTTCAGGGCGCCCGCTCATTTGAATGATTTGCACTCGTTAGAGAGCTTGTGGGAGCAGGAAACTGTCGCAAAAGAGGTGAGCCGCTCGGTTATAATTTTAATTTAAAAAGGAGGTTCACCTGCGGATTGCAGAACTCACAGAAGTGTCAGTCTGATCCCAATTGCCTATGTCGTCCTCCATAGACTGACTAGCACCCGTGAAAGCCAGAGGCGTTAGGGGCAATGCGGGTTTCGTCGAAGTCACGGCTGTAGTAATCACATATTCACGTTACCTCAGCTTTTGCAACACCATCATATTTAATGGCGATCCACCGTAGTCATGTTTCTAAATAAACTTGTTTTCGATTCGGTTGATCGATGTGCCCTTTGGGATGCTTACAAAGGAAACATACACCCGGGAAACACGTACATATCCTTAAAGCACTTTGCATGCGCAGTTCGGGCGGTGTGAGAGCTTACCTTCGGCCGGTAGCCGAGTGGTCTGCGCGTTTGGTTTGCAACTCTAAGGTCACCGGTTCGAATCCGCGTATGGGTGGGCGTCCTCGCGGTATACACAGTCCGTGCGCGACTGGTGGTGGTCGCGCGGCAGCGAAGCGCCGTTACAGCTTACATCTAACACATTATTATTATTATTATTATTATTGTTATTATTTTATTTCAAGCTATCCAGTGATCTGAGACAAGGATGTACGAGGTCAACTTACCTTATTAACTTCACCATCGACAGTTATGGAGACTGCGTTCACTGGACACGACTTACAAGGTGTGGAGCTGCACTCATGTGACAGACTTTTTCACTTGGAGTACACCGACGACATTGTCCTTATTAGTGACAACTTGCAAACGTGTCAAGCAGCACTGGATAAATTAGCATTTGCTGTCAGTCATTTCGGGCTATGCTTTGCACTCACGAAATGCAAAGTCTTTCTCCAAGATTGGCTGGTGATTAGCTCGAAGTCGTCCAGAAATTAAAGTATCTGCGCAGCTGTATTAGCGCCTTTGGAATAGAAGATCATGAACCGTATAGCAAAAACGGGTGACGATTGGGCCAGTTCCTGGCACCTGTGCCGTCAGCTCAACATCACTCTCGCCTTGAAGAGCACCGTTTACAATTCAGCCATGCGTTCAGCCCTTTTATACGGCTGCGAAACCTTGCTCATCAAGTCGCCGGTCATAAAGAGGCTAGTTACCTTCGGTCATCACTATGTTCCCACCTTAGCTTATGTCTGGTGAGAGCACCGCGTGAGCAGTGAGTGTTTTCGGCGTCGTGTATTTGGTGCAGGAAGAACAAGTGAACCGCTCAGCATCGCTGTGTCGCGCATCAGACACCGATGACTGGACAGCCGGCTGCGCATGCCAACACGCCAACTCCCGCATCGTGCGTTTTTTGCGCGCCTGGGGTGTGGATGGAGAAAAGGAGTGGAGACCAAACGATGACTTGGTAAAGTGGTATGGAGGCCCTCACAACAAACTTGGTGCCGGTTGGTGTCTCGCGACTTTCTGTTGGGGCCCAAAGGACGATGCACATGTTGCTTTGTAATACACTATTTGGCATGGTGACGAGCCGACCTCAGTGGCGTTGGTGTTGTGAGTTTCTTTGTTCCTCCCCACCCCGTTTATCTTCCACCTCCAACCACCATCTCAGTCTTGAAGCATGGTATGTTACTCAGCAGTATATTACCTGTTGGTGTTTTGTATTCTATAATATCTACCTCGCTTTTACCTTATCCTTTTGTGTTGTGGCACAGATAGGTGAAGTTTGTTTGTTACCTTCAGCTATCACTTAATTATATGGGTGATGTCTCGCTAATAACAGATTTCAGGGCTTTATGACGCCGGTTGCACTCCAAATTCTAAAATCTCTGGCCAAACACAGCAGTTTGTATGTACCTTAATCTGGACGCTGTGACGCACTAACAGCATTCAGTCTAGTGGGTATTGTCCTCCTGTTTCGCTTTCAATCTATTCAGCCGTTGCAACCGATTGTGTACATATTAGTTTAGATTCAGGTTCTTCATGCCTAACAATTAAAAAATATAAAAACAAAAACCAATAACGACGTGTGAAAGAAAATAAGGTTCCCTTCTTCTTGTGGCACAATAGCTGAAGTGTGTTGTTCACCTTCAACTAATGTGCCATAATGATAATCACGTTGCAACTCTACCCACCATCAGCTGATTTCCGTCGCTTTCTTTAACTCTATCCCTATTTATTAAACCGTTGATGCTATATATATATATAATATATATATATATATTGCGTATTTTATTCGGGCGATAACCCCTCGGCTACACACAAACTTATTCGACTGCTTTCAGGGCGGTACAGTTATCGGGTCTGCACGGTGCAAAGCTTTCATGGACCGTGCTGGTCGGTTGAAAGCAGCATTGAACCTGGTGACTCGGGGCATCACCAATTTGGTCGCGATTGGCGGCGATGGATCCTTAACTGGAGCGAACGAGTTCCGTATCGAATGGCCCTCATTGCTGGAAGAATTGGTGAACTCAAGTGAGGTTCCTTTTGCTTTGGGATCAGAGCGGTGAGATGCAACCTTCTTCTCCGGAAGGGTATAAGATTTTGGCGGCTGCCTATTATGTGTCGCGCCTCCGATTTATTTGTATCAACAAGCTTGCACGTATCCTTAATAATTCTCCATGTTTTCAAGCCAGTGCAATGCTTGATGTAATTTCAGTTTTCGCTGCTTTTCCTGTGGAGCGCAAGAACATATTGCTTTTTGAAAATATAGGTTGCCCATTTGTTATACTATTTGGCGGTTGTATTGCTAACGACTGTCTGCATTGTGGATCTGCGTATATTGACATCTCGTACGAATTCCATACCAAGCAGCAACATTCGTCTCGCTATTTGGCACAGTTCTCAAAGCTTTTTACCTCTCCTGATAGAACCTTATCCGAACCTAACAACGATAGTGGATTTTAGTGAATATTCCTTGTCATACGAACACCTCATCATAATGACAGTCAAGTTATTGCTCAGAGACTAATCGAAAAGTTGTACTGTCAAAACCACTCTTACAAACCCTAAATACCTGCTGTTGCATTGCATCCAAAAACCTGCCCTGTTACATTAAAACAAGCAGTTCGTCGTCATTATTCAGTTAAAAATGCCCATCAAGAATCCCAGTAGACTTGTTGTGTAGCCAAACGTTACCGGTAAATCAGTGGAGACCCTCTAGACGATTGACTATCCATGTAACGTTCGATAAAAATGTCTATTCCGTTCGCGTCCGATTGGCTGTCCTGTCCGTCACTCTGATCTAGCTTGTTAGTTTCGACTGGCCACGTATCTCACATTCCTTACCACGTTGTACATTTTTAACGTCTACTTCAGCTAGTGGGTTGTAATCGATCGGAGCCTATTCTTGCTTCCTAACAGTCCCGTTTTTTGTGTGACACGTCTTGTCTCGGAAGTCATCACTCTAGCCAAGAGAACTTGGCAACTGTACCACAACACAGACATCTTTACCTCACGCTTACATTCTTCGCAAATCTCAGATAATGCTTGTATGATCTAAGGTCGACGGTCAGTTGTGAATCTTCTCAAAGCCACATGGTTTGATGCGCGGCATAAGGCAATACCAGTTTTGCTTCACTTGGGCATATCAGAACGTAATAAAACTAGAGAAAGATGAATATTTAAAACAGTTAGTTTCCTTCAGTAGTTTGAACAACGAAATGAGAAAACCAATAGTGGCAGCTCCTAGCATTTCGTATTATCTCATCAGCACCATTACAATAACTGGAACTCTTCTTTTAAGTTTTATAGGGCACAGTCAAGCCAATCAAATTCATGGATGTGGTCATTGTTGTTGACATTGGGACCACGGCAATCACACGTTGAGAACTAATTGCGTTCGGTTCTGCAAATGTAACTGATTCCGCAATCACACACGAATTAGTAAACACAATGTGATGTGGCGCCGGTGGCAGAGTGGTCTTCACGCCTGGCTTGCAATCGTAACGTCACCGGCTCGAATCCGCGTAGGAAAGGGCGTCCTCGCGGTATACTCAGCCCACGCGCGACTGCTGGTGGTCGTGCGCCGGTGAATTGCCGTTACGGCATACTGCTGACGAATTATTATTATTATTATTATTATTATTATTATTATTAATGAAGGTAACATCAACTTTCCGGTTCAACGCACTGACCGGATAGAAAATCTGACAGAGCTAGAGGCCTGTATAACCCAACACTTTGAAGCACTTCTCCTACATCATGTGATTGAGGAAACCACCCACAGGAACTTGAAGCTGAGAGACCCCACAAAGAGAGACAACACAGCTGTACGGGTTACCAAAGATTCACAAGTAGGGCATACCACTAAGACTCATATTGTCGTTGAGAAATTCCCCGCAGCACAAATTGGCTCACTGGTTAGTTCGGATCCTTGCGTCACTGAGGCAGCACTTCAATTTGCACAGCAGTAAGGACTCTTTTGAAATAATCGAAGACTTAGACCAATATCTACACTTCTCCAGCTTCTCACCGATGGCACACAAGCGCGTGCTGGTGAAAACACTGTTCATTCGGGCCAGGCGTATCTGCTCCAACGACTGCCTGGCTGAAGAGATTGAGCTGACCACTACAACGCTTATGTAGAATGGCTATCCAAAGCAATTCATAGACAAATATAGCCAGGTTAGACCGCCTAAAGCAATGTTGACAGCCCCAAAGAAAAAGCTATACATTAAGCTACCTTTCAAGGATGACACCGCAGCAAGAGAGACAACTAAACGCATAATCTCGACCATACAGCGTACGTACTGTGCTGCGAGGACAGTAATTATCAACAGAACCCGAAAGTTGCTGTTACCTTCATTGAAGGAAGATAAACCGGTTGGCGCCAGATCACCTTACATCGGCAGAACCGAACTGGCTTTGAATTCCAGAGTGAAAGAACACTTGCCAAACTGGGTTCAGCGCGAAGTTAATCAATCCCCTTCCGAGGTTATATGCTCCCGTAAGCCGCCGGCGTCCCACATAGGTAGGCACATTTTGTCGACTCGTCATCGGAGTATTCCCTTATCGGCGTACCGGATCTTGTTGCGTCATACAAATTCACGCCTTTTGCGACTTGCCGAGGTCGTCGCGATAAGCCGAATCAGACCAGCAGTGTGTCCAAAAGCAACTAGTTATCAACGTGCGGTTGCCGTGGTCCTAATGCCAACAGTAATGACCACATTCATGAACTTGATTGGCTTGACTGTGTCCTATGGAACTTAGGATTCCCCAGTTATTGTATTGGTACTGACGAGATAATACGAAATGCTAGGAGCTGCCAATATTGGTTTTCTCATTGTCCATGGATAATTATGCCTTTCCGAGCAAGTATTCTATTGGCACCACTCTTTTATCAAATGCCTGTTATTGATTCAGTAAAACACAACGATTAATAGCCTTCGGTATACTCAATCACCGACATCGTGTAGGCATCGGACTGTAACGGATGTGTCCGGATGACCTCTGTTTTCATGCTTGGATCCATGAAAGATGGATGAAACTTAATTATTTCAGTGGTGAGTTCCTTAAGCTGAGCCTTCCATTTTCATTGCTCTCTCTATTGAGATTGATACAGCCGAACCGAATTGTTGCCGATGTTTAAGGAAGCTTTGGGTCCGTTAGTTGTGCTTACGTTGCCTTTCATCACCTCAAAACCGGAGGTGAAATGTTACCTTCGTGCACACGCATTAGTTTTCACTTGTACTACTCAAGGGAGCTAGTCGGTTCGTCAGATTCATGTCACCTACTCTACTTTCGTCGGCCCGTAGCCTAGAGCTAACGAGCTTGTCTCGTAATTTTGCGGCGCGGGTTAGAATCCGCGTAGGGGTAGGCGTTCTCGCGGTATACTCAACCCGCGTGCTACTGGTGGTGGTGGTCGGACGGCAGCGAAGCGCCGTTACGGCTTGCAGCTGACACACTACTAAATACACTACTCCCTATGGATCCTGATTGTATGCCCTCTTTATTTCAGAATGCCTTCAACCGGAGCAAGCGCACAAATTTCCCCGTTTGAACATAGTCGGTCTTGTGGGTAGTATCGATAACGACTTTTGCGGCACGGATATGACTATTGGGGCCGATTCCGCACTTCATCGTATCATCGGAGCGACTGATGCTATCGCCACGACCGCCGCGTCACACCGACGATGCTTCATATTAGAAGTGATGGGTCGTCATTGTGGATACCTTGCTTTAGTGGCCTCGATGGCATGTGAGGCAGACTGGGTCTTCATACCGGAGTTGCCACCGTCTGATGACTGGCGCGAGAAGCTATGTGCCAAACTTCGTTCGGTAAGTCGTATTGTTTTGGAGGGCCTCTGTCCGCTTACAAATTCCGGTGCTTTTGGCCTGTACCTCCGGATGTCAGCCATGTTTCTGCACTCAAATGTAAAGTCTACCTCCTTTCCTGGACACTGGAAGAAACTTTGTGTTACAGTTTCCAGCATAGCTGTTTACTGATAATGTCCTGCCCCTAGAGCTGCTCTGTGTTGCATTGTTTTTTGCCTTCAAATCGGATTCTTTGCGCTGTGGAATCCACAAATTATTTGGTAGAGTGTAGCAATGTTCCCTTCGAGGTTTACCAAACGGTCTTAAGAGATCTCCTAAGATGAGTACTCCCTTAGTAACTGGTAAGCTTGAGTTGTCTTTTATCCTATTTGGCTATCAAATTTGACTCGTCTATACGGGTTATCAGTCAACAGCCTCATCTGTGATTTGCTAATTCAGATGACGAAGCCACCGCTTTCATAGCCCTAAATTTAACCAGAGTTCGCTTGAGTCATTCCTACTTGTCCACTGTCTTGCGTATGTAACCTGGCACACTTGGGTTATTTCACGTTGCACGCTCATCACAGACGGATCAAGTTCATTCTCCAACCCCCGGCACACACACACACACATCTCGCACAAAGATTAACAGATTTTTGCTATTGGGGACCTATGCGTGATAGTGTCTTCCACTCTGGTCCCAGCACCACTGTCGGTTAGTAACGAGAAACCTGGAAATCCCTGAATGCTCATCAAACGCCCACGTCACACTAGTTCTTTTCACTGTATGGTACGTGATGGGACACGGCGATAACCACTGTGTCATTCTTAACAAGCACTACATGTACCCGATGCGGTAAACCCAGTTGTTGGCTTGGCCTTGAAGCCGGAGAAAGTCAGCCGCCACTCAGTTAGCTAACATTCATGAGCAAACCTTTCGATCGGTGAGCTGAACTGTTAGTCACCAAAGCCTTAACCTACAGCCGCATTCACGTTACCGACAGGGTGTAGACAAGACAATGACTTAGGCTTCTACTTCCAATCCCTGTCATCTGCTTGTGGAACTTTTCACATTTAGGGGTAACTGAACGTCGAAACAGTTCTGGTCCTTAATCCATTTCCCTATATCAAGGCCGGGTCCCCGAATATTCAACCTAACCATAGTGACATCCAGTTCTGAGCTTGCTTTTAACTCACCTGATGACACACTTGCGCACGCTTCAGGACCAGCCAGCCCTTTCCCCTCACCAATCGCGCAGCGTTCCATGATTGGACAAATGTTAATCTATCACCTCTATCGTATTACTCGACCTGGACTGCATTCGACTCCTTTTCCGAATACATTTTCCTACACATGTTTCCTGCTGTGTTCACTCCGTTGGGCGTACACTACATAGGCCGTAGGGGCCGAGTTGCAGATAAACCTAGTGCTCTTATAACGACGCAATAGCTGTCTCGTTCGCAAACCTGTCGGTAACAGTACACATTCCTTCTCTATAAACATGTGTTCTGTTGTAGCTCTGGTTGCCAGTAGTTAGTATGATACTGCGCCAATTGGGCTGATGTGAACTGGTTATTCAATTCGTTGTTGCTTTCAAATCCACTGTCCCCGACTTCTGACTCTTCGCGCTCCTGCCAGCCGCACCACCTTACTCGATATTGTCACTATCGTTACGAAACGATGACCTCGTCAATCTGGCCTCAATTTCTCATCCCAGCTGGTGCAGTATCCATTCAAATATACCTGGTAATGCTGTACAGCGGTTCATTCACAGACTTACTTGAAAGCTTAAGTATTCTAGCCAGTTGCTTCCATCATCCTTGAAACTCGCTGCTATATATCGGTGTGCAGTCTAGAAGGTGACTGACTTCATCTGAAATGTTTCTTGCAATATAGTATAATTAATTTGTTTTTGCTCTTGCTGTGCGATCGAATACCGCTCATCACCTTGTTGCTTATTTTAGAACAGGGATTCCGGACAGCGAGTGGACATTATCATGGTCGCGGAGGGCGCGATTGATCGACAGTGTAACCCCATCACTTGTGAAGAGATACGCAAACTTATCGTTTCCGAACTCGGACTGGACACCAGAATCACCGTGCTGGGCCACGTTCAGCGTGGAGGTCGACCTTCCGCATTCGACCGGATCCTTGGAAGCCGTATGGGTGCCGAGGCTGTGCTGGCCCTGATGGATGCTGATCGCGATACTACCCTGCCAGCTTGTGTGATCAGTCTGGATGGCAATCAGGCGGTTCGAGTCCCATTAGTGAGATGTGTAGAAAAGGTTAGTCACCTTCAGTTTGACTGCTTGTACCTAACAATAGCTACTTTCTCACAGTTACGCGTGAAACTGTATCCACAAAAGGAACAGATCATCATTCCGTTCAGTTACCATCATGCTCCTTTGTGACAAACACATGTGCGAGTAGCTTTTTGCGAATAAGTGTTTGTGATGCCTTTGTGAAGTATACGAAACTGCATTAACTGAAAGATTGCGACTTAGACGTTCGGAGTTGGAAATGTGAGTTTCATGTCCCAGCGCCATACAAGTCAGATGGAGTACAAATTGCTGATGACTTCCGGTAGGATGAACCGGCTATCCATTGCTTTTCTGGATGGCCTCACAACTGAGTTCACTTGTGGTGAACTGCATCTTTCTCTATCCTCCTGCTTCCAACAGTGCTCTCTCTTCGTAGCTATGCATTGCTCGATTACAACCCGCTCGTGTGACCAGAGAACCAATCGTTTACTTGAAGGCCATGGATTTTCAGAACTTCTGGATTGATAAGCATACATAAGACCATCCTTGGCCAGCACTCCCAGCCGCATCCATTGAGATTTGGCTTGTTAATTCGACGGAATCCTCTACTTTTGCTCGGTGTATCGCTCGCTATCGCATTCCACTTTGGATTTTGTCAGCCAGCTTTTATAAACTTTTTTTATTTGGGAACCTTTTTGTAACTCATCGCTTCTCTTTACATTATCTTCTGATTGGATCCAACATGGCAGGACATTCGAGCTGTGCAACATGCCGCTTTGGTGATGATGACATATCAGCTTCCCTGACCAAACTGAATTCCTAACATCAAACAACGTCATAACAAGAACTACCCCGCTGTACCCCAACGTCAGCCAAAGGTTCATTTAACGAGTTGTATTCGAACAGGACCTAAATTGTCAATGTCGCGGAGCCATTTGCGGCAAACCCCATAACAACTCGACGATGGGCATTGTTTTGAAGTCGGCTGCAGCCACACTTCTTCTGACAACCTTTCATTCGTCTTGAACTATTTAGGAACCTTAGTGGCCCATGCAGTCTACCAGGAATATTTTGTGGCACACAGTCAACCAACTACATCACACTCAACTCCACAGTGGGAAAGTGTTAACTCACTGCACTTGACTCTTCCCCACTTTGAAATCTACAACTTTGAGATAGACACGTATAACCAGGGTTTGGCGTGCAATAATCTATGCTTCCTCTGTCGCAACCGTTCCTACTCATCTTACAGACCGATTTCATCAACGGTGGTGTCCGCATCTTCTGTGTTCATAAGGTAATCACCTACCGCAACCTCTGAAAGCTGCAGTTTTCTTAATCCACTGACTCCGGGTGAAACCGCTCCCCGGCTAATAAACTTGCGCGTCCACTAAACTAGCCGATTCATATCCTGACTCCGTTCCCCATTACGTTTCCAATATGATAGCACAACCATGTTAAATAAAGATAGGGACGCCATTATTACCATCATATCAAAGGTGCTTTTGATTCGGTTGATCGATGTGCCCTTTAGGACTGCCTACTCAGGAAAGGTGTGCCCGAGAAATATATAAATATTATCCATGCACTATACGCGCGTAGCTCGGGCAGAGTGAGAGCTTACGGCAGGCTGTCGCCACCCTTCAGTATTCCTAGCGTTGTGAGACAGTTACCCATTGTCACCTTTTCTCTTCAACTTCGCTATTGACGAACTCATGGAGATCGCGTTCACAGGAAATAACTTAGAATGTGTGAAGCCTCATCCAGGAGAACGACTTCTTGACTTGAAGTATGCTGACGATGTTGTCCTCATCTGTGACAGCTCCCAGACCTGCCAAGCTGCACTTGACAGATTATCACTGGCTGTCAACAGTTTCGGGCTTTGGTTTGCCCCCTCCAAGTGCAAAGCTTTCTTCCAAAGGTGGAATAAAACGCCTCCTGCACTGATCCTTGGTTGCGATCAGCTGGACGTTCAAAAATTCAACTACCTGGGAAGTTGTGTCAGCGTCCTTGAGAACGAAGATGAGGTCACGAACTGTATAGCCTACCGTACCCTACTGTACGCTTGTGAAACCTGGCCCCTTAGATCAGCGGAAATAAAGAAGCTAGTTACGTTCGACCATCTGTGCCTTCGCAATTTAGCTCACATCTGGTGGGAACACCGAGTGAGCAACGAGCGTGTTCGACGCCTTGTATACGGCACAGGGAAAGGAAATAAACCGCTCAGAACCGTTATTTCACGCACCAATCTCCGAGGGCTTGCCCAGGTGATACGCATGCCAGTCCACCGACTCCCGCGACGTGCGTTGTTTCCGCGCCAGGGGTGTGGATGGAAGAAGAGGAGAGGTGGCCAAGCGATGACTTGATCAAGAGGAATGTAGGCCCTATCTTCAAAGCTGGCCTCAGTTGGTGCGTCTCGGCTCCCTGGTTGGGGTCTGAAAGACGATGAACGCGTTTGGTTGGATCCACTTGGAGCCGACATCATTGGCGTTCATGCCGTGAGTTTCTTTGTTCCTCCCCATCCCTCTTAGCTTCCTACTCCAACCACGATCTCATTTCTCAGCGTACTACAATTTTATGTATTAACTTTCTGTTGCATAGTATTAGGCTGGGAGTTTTCCGGAACGGTGCTCATCCGTTACTAGTAGCCCAGCTAGCATTCATCAGTTGTATTCTGTTTATTCTTTTTCGTTTATCTATTGCGGCACAATATCTAAGGTGTTTTCCACTTCTAGCTAAAGTGTATAATCATGATTATGATTCCTGCCTGAAAGATATTATTGTTCCTTAAACACTTAGCGAGCAATATTTATGGACGATGGACTATTTGTATCCAATTTTTAACACATTGATCACTCAGTCATCTAGTATTAGTCCTTTGAACAAAATTGCTACGATGCCGTTTCCGTTTACACAGCCAATTGCAACACAAATCGTCGAAAATCTATTGTACCAGTAATTGTCATCCCTCATCCGTAGGACCAGAATGCTACCATTCTGATAACTATTGACTACATATATGCTTCCTGTTATAATTGAGGGAACGCCGCCTGTAGATATGATTGCGTAATTGCCTGATAAGATTGTCGCTGGCACGGTTGGAGCACGCCTACGATGACGACTTGTAACGCTGGCCAATCGAACGGAGTTGCGCTGACCTGATGACGCTAGCTTAGCCGGTGAGACGGAAAATTGGGAGAGCGTGTGAACGATCCTAGCCGCACGTGTTCGGATAGACGCTGAGCCTCGGAACGGACGCACACGAGAGGGGGTTACGATAGACGCGCGCTAATGACTTAGACGCGAAGCCTGGCCAGCTAACGACTCACACGCAATCACGTGACCCGACCGACTCCCAAGTAAGGCGAAGGGGAAAGAAAAGACAGGCGGTCATCTGTAGGCTCTTTTACGACCAACAAAGGGCGATCACAGCCAATGCTATGGGTTATTAAGTTAGGGAAAACAGTCACCACGAAGAGGTGGTAGTTTGCAAATGACCATTGTCAGAAGGTGCGCAGTTTGGACGTGCCTCGGAGTGGCTGAGCGCTGCTGTGTTGTGGGGAGGAATTGCACCTCGTTTTCCACAGCCATTCTGCCGGGGGTCTCTGGCGCGTTTTTGCGGGAATATTTGACGTGCCCGCAACACTTCCATAGGTCACTTCTCATACTTCAAACACTGCTTCAAACGCCTTCATTTGCTGTTTTGGGGTCAATGGGTATCGCACTCACAACGACGAGTTATCTGGTCAGGTGTACAACAAATATGATCTTTATATCGTCAACCCGGGTTTTCAGAAAAACCTGTCACATCGCATCATCTGGTACCATTCTCTGCAGGCAACTGATCGGTGCCGGCATCAGCTGCAGGTGACACACGTGGCAGATTTAAATCGCCACTAATTAAGGTCACTGTCCATTGCTTCGCACTGGCGGAACAGTGTATTCCTGCAACGTGATGCTGAATCTGTGGAGAGGATTGGGCCCATGTTTGGCAACCGATCAAACGTAAGACGTATGAACTGAGCAACCAGTCACCGGCTCCCTATGGGCGCGGTCCTCTGACTTCCCCTCGCTGCCTTGCGGGCAGGCTATTGCGCCAACTACTCGGGGTGGTGTCCCCTTAGTTAACACCCTTCATCTGCTTAGAAAACTCGCTATCATAGTGCCGTCTGAGAAAACCATGCATTTCTGTGTGATGTGTTCCGTTTCCACTTTACGATAGATGTAACTTCCTTTGATTTCCATGCTTTTTGATGGCTCAACCGCAAACTACCCGTAAACCGTAGGATATATATATATATATATCGCATCCGGTTTTGGGTTTGCCTGTCACTATGGCGAGCCCCAGCACGCCTGCGCCTACACAGGGACCATGGGTGGCTTGCGCTGCACCACCCACAGCTCCATCCACACACCCCATATGCAGTGTAAACCCGAAGGAATAATACCGGGAGGCATGTGGATAGGAGCCACGTTTCGTAAACGGAGCTTGCCCACACTGCTTCATAGGCGAACACAAGCACGCTGTTTTTGGGGAATGAAGCGCACACAAGGCGATGGATGGACCGTAGTCCGCTCCACACTGATTGCATGGAACCGCTCTTTGATCCTAACACGGCCATAAGGACCGTGAACCTCGTTCCCTCTAACAACGATCAACTGTCTCTTGGAACCAGTATGGACGAGGTAGTGGGTAATAGACAGGTAGGCACCTTGTCAACATGCACATCAAGCGCAGCCAGACCGGGGATATCAAGCAACAGCCAATCACTTGAAGCGTCGTTATCAAATAAAATAAATCTAATAATCCGTACAGCTACGGTGACACAGCTCTTCACAAAATGTGCATATGAAATTAAGGGGTTACGAACTAATCCGCGATAAGTTTAAGACGTCAGAAATTATATTTTACGGAAATGCCACCAACATGAAAATGTCATCGAAATTAATTACCATTGGCTTAAGCGAGTTGTGCAGGTTTATAGACGAATGTTCAGGTAGACAAGTATATGCGATAAAAAAGC